GTCCCCCGGGCCGGCTGGGCCCTGGCAGGGGCCCCGCTTCCGGGAGCTGGGTCCCGATGTCCCCCTGTGCGCAGATCCCGCTGTCCCACCGTGCCCGGGTCCCCTGGTGCTTCCCCGGGTCCAGGTGCTCCGGTATCCTGCCATGGGTCCCCATGTCCCTTCATGCCCGCGTCGCTGTGTCCCCACTGCTCCTCTGTCCCGGCGTGCCTGGTGTCCCACCGTGCCCGGGTCCTGGTGCTTCAGGGCTGGCCTCACACCGTGTTCGTTCTCTCCCAGGAAGGAGAAGAAGGTGGACAACATGAAGCCCAAGCACCCCGACGAGCAGGAGATCCCCTTCCGCCTGCGGGAGCTCATCAGGAGCCGTGAGGCCATGAAGCGCCCCAACCCTGGGAAGAGGCAGGGGGCAGGTGGGCACGGAGCTGGCCCAAGCAGGGTTCCCCAGGGCTTGGCTGAGGAGCCCGTGCCAGCCCCGCAGCGCTGGAGGCAGCCAGATCCTGCAGTGGGGCGTCCTGATCTGCCCTGGTGATGTCCCATCCCTGCCCTGCCAGCAGGAGGGAACCCCCAGATTGTCACTGCTGCAGTAATGTCGCCCGTTTCTCCTAGAGAAGAAGCAGCAGCCCAAGCCAAAGGGCCGCAAGGCTCAGGGAGACATCCCCGTGCCCAAGTTCAGGAGGGGGAAGGGGGAGTCGGAGCGCTCCTACGTCTGCCGCATGGAGCAGGAGGTGCAGCGTGTCCTCTTCCTCACCAAGAACCAGCTGCAGCGGGAGCCTGAGAAGGAGGCGGTGGCACCAGAGAAGTCCAAGAGAAAGAAAGAGTGAGAGCAAGGCCACTGCGCCTGCTGGGACTGGACTGGGTCAGCCCAGGCCTGTGTCCCAGACTGGGTCTGGGCATGTGGTGGGTGCCTCGCTGGTGCTGCAGCACAGGTCCAGCATGTGGCAGCGACTCGGGGTGTGGGTGGAGGGCTGTGGGCCTCATCTCCGTGGTGCCGTCTCTGGGACCAGAGCCACAGATCTGCTTCACCCTCTTGCTGCTGGGTTGGAGCTGGGGGGAGAGCTGAGGGGCCCCAGGTTTTGGGAGGATCCTGTGGGCTAGGAATCTCCCTGTCCAGTCATGAGCCCTGGCCATAACACAGCTCTTCAGGTTTCAGAATAAGAAGCTGGAAAAAGCACGGAAGAAGAAAGAGGAGAAGAAAGAGGCCATGCTGGAGAAGAGCCTGTTCCAAGGTGGGTCTGGCGCAGGGGGGTGGCTGGGGTGACCCCCTGCCCCAGCAGCCTGCGGTGTGTCCCGGGGGGCTCC